TCAGAGCTGGTAACAGCTGATTTAACCCTTGTGAGAAAGAGAAACAGTGCTATTAGAAGATGAAACAATAAAGCAGGAAAGGGGTGGAGGGACTGTAAGATTCACTGATAGGCTGGCCTCTGGTGGCTCACGCTTGTAATCCTAGCTACTCAGGAGGCAGAGGTCAGGAGTATTGCAGTTCGAAGCCAGCCTGGGCAAATAGTTCACAAGACCTTATCTTGAAAAAACCTATCACAAAAAAGGGCTGGTGTAGTGGCTCAAGGTGTAAGTCCTGAATTCAAACCCTAGTACCGTAAAAAAAATAAAGTGAACAGAAGTTTAAAATAGGCCCAGCAACTCCATATGGTAAATGCTTGGCAGCACTAAAGGGAAAAGTAACCTGCAGCTGGTCTCCTTTCCTACTTCCAACCTCCTGGAAAAAATGGCCTGCCCCTTTGACCCTTTTAGTCCTTAAATCTGCTTTTCTTTCCTTCCTTGTCTCCTCTCTCTGTCTGTCTTTCTTAGTCTCTCTTTCAACACAGGTTTTCTCTATGTATCCCAGGTTGGCCTCATACTCCCTATGTAGCCCAGGCTGGCCTTGAACTTGTGATCCTCCTACCTCAACTGGGATTACAGTTAACTGGGATTACATCATGCCTGTTTTCAATCAGCTTTTTAGATGGTTCACATTTATGACCAATAAAATCTCTGAGCTAAGGAGCTAAGTATTCAGTTAAATGTTCTGTTAATGAGATAATTTTACACAGAAGATAAAAGATTCTGTTAAATATGAAATTGTGTTATTTACATTTTACTTAGCACTATAGGTTCTGCATTTGTTAAGTTTTTTTTTAAAGAGGTGTTAGGTAGAGAAGCCTGGGCCTTGCACATGCAAGGCAAGTGCTCTACCACTGAGCTACATCCCCAGTCCAAATTCCTTGGTTTTATTTTTTTTATGCATCACTTTTATTTTTTAAAGGTCCAGGGATTTTACCTGGTTAGTAAATTATGGTCCTTTTTTGTTTTCTTTTTTTTGTGTTGTTGTTGTTGTTTTTGATTTGCCTCTTAACTTCAGATTCTCCTACCTCAGCTTCCCAAGTGGTGTGACTGCTGGGATTACAGGTGCATGCTACCTTACCTGCATCTTCTTTGCTTTTATAAAGCAACTTCAGGATAGAAAAGTGATGAAATCAAATTGTATAGTAGAATTATCATTGCTTGAGCTTTGGTCTCTTCAGCCATCCCATAGCAGCTTATTGCTGTTGATGGCATAACAAAACCTTTATTTATTTATTTTTGTCATGCTGGGGATTGAACTCAGGGCCTTGCACATGCCAGGCAAGTGCTCTACCATTGAGCTACATCCCCAGTCCTATTTTTTTGAGACAGGTGCTCTTCTGGCAAGATAGCCCAGGCTGTCCTTCTGCCTCTGCCTCTGCCTCTGCCTCCCAAGTGCTGGGATTATAGGCACATCCTGGTTCAAGCTTTTCTTGACATATTCTTAACACTTGCTTCAGAGACATATTTAGTATTCTCCTGAGCAAGCAGGCTCTCTTATTTTTAAGGAAAATCCCACTCACTGGGTGATAAAGCTTTCAGAAGTGTCTGTCTGGTGGCAAGCCCAGGCTATGAGATGTCTGAAAAGAACCTAAAAGCATCACAGCTTGGGAAATCCCTATGATCAAAAAAAGGAAACAGGTTACACTTTACCTTTTTAGGGAGCTGGCTATAGAAATAGGAGAATGGACATTAGGAAAACCAGTTCTCATTTGTATTTCTCCCTTTATACATATATTTACCTTTATAAATAAAGGTTGGTTAAAAGAGGACAAATAATAACTACACCTCAGCTGGCAATATTGTAAACTTTAATTAATGTTTCTAAGGTATGAGTTGAACTCAAGATGAAAGATTCTATATGTGGAATGTGTATTAAGTACCCAATCTGGTTTGGTCTGATAATGGCTATAATTGTATGCTATTCTATATTACATATCTTGATTATTGTGGGTTCAGTGAGTTCAACCTTGAAAATGTATTTTAATGTTGAGAATGTGTTTAACTCTGATTGGCAAAGTGTTTGGGTGTGTATGCTCATGTTTTAGCTAGCCCCAATTTGTTGATTCTTGATATAAAATATGTTTCACAAAACAACTTGGGAAATTTTTCTTCTTTCTAAATTAGTTCCAGGTTCCAAGAAGAAACAAAGTTCTGGTTCTCACACATCATAGAGTAATACGTAAGTTACTCTATGCAACAAAATATAAAGGTTAAGCAAAAAATAATTAAAATGATGTATCCATATTAAGGTGTGCTAAATATGTGAGGATTGACCTGGAATGAAGTAAGATAACATTTAATTATTAATCACTTAAGAAAAAGTTATTTTTTCTAACAAAACTCATTTAAGGATATTTCATAGAATTTAAATAGTAGGTTAGACTACTGACTCATTTAAAGTGAGCTACAGCTCAAGAGCCAAAGGATCTGAGCTTTTAGAACTTACATGTAACTCAAAAGACTGAAGGGCTTAGATAATCATGTGAGATCAAAAGCTATTATTACTAAAATGTAGTTGAATATTAACAGGACTCAGCTATCCTTTAGAACAGTATAAAAGTTTATCTTCATATGGCACAGGCACATTTCTGTTAATATCCCCTTCCCCCAGTGTTAGGGATTGAAGCCAGGGCCTTACAGAGGCTAGGCAAATGCTCTGCCCTTTATCTTTATGTTCATTCCCTTTCAGTTGCACTAATATTCATAAATTTTAAAATAGCTAGCATTTCCATATACCCTTCAAATGAATATAATTATATGAATTAGAACAACCTTGTTCCTTAACGCCTGAAAATTAGCCAGTTACACCTCCCTTATAGACACAGGATTATTTCATTCACATTCAATGAAATAATTAAGTCTTTACTCTGCATTTACACAGTTGTTCAGCATTGTGTGAAGTGTGAGACAGAATAAAGGAAGGCTTAATGTTTTAGAACATTTTTTCTGGCCTTGAGGGTTTACGATGCTAGGCACCAGTGGCTCACATCTGTAATCCTAGCTACTCAGGAGGCAGAGATCAGAAGGATCGAGGTTGAAGCCAGCCCCAGCCAAATAGTTCCAGAGACCCTATCTGGAAAAAACCCATCACAAAAAAGGTGAAGTGGCTCAAGGTTTAGGCCCTGAGTTCAAACTCCAGTACCACAAAAAAAACAGTTTTTGACCTCATTTTTGTTCAACAAGAACTATATGGTATATTCAAAACAGAAGTGCTTTCACCTGTTCCCTTTCAGGCCTCTGCCTTTCTTCTTCCTTGGCCCTAGAACCTAAATTCCTTTAGAGCCTTTCTTTCAGCAGGCTGTCAACAAACAGCAGAAACACATTGGCTGATAGTGCCCAAGGAGGTAAACTTCCATGAGGATTTGCATTTAAACCAGGGACTTTTCAGGGTACAACAAAGTGGGTCTGTTTAAACAAAGGTGATTTATTTGCAGTGTTCTGATTTCACCCATCACAAGCTAAGCCATACAAGTCACTTTTACTACATTCTCAAGTTTGTCACTTCTCTGTAAAAGCCAGCTTGCTTGTCTCCGTGTTATCTACCATTGCCTACATGGTAGGCAAAGTTCTTGGCTTGGTGTGCCAGGCACTTCTGAGGCTCATCTTCTGTACTCCTAACCAGACATCCTACTTTCCAGTCCCAGTGCACTTTCCATGTTTCCATAAACAGCCCAAGCCCTTTCATAACTCCTTGCTTTGCCCTTATTTCCATTGTCCAGAATATACCTTTCTCCCCTTACCTTTTGTCTTTTTGCAAATTCAATTTGAGACTCAGCATAAACATTGTCTCTGTGAAAGTTCCTTACTATTCTACATTTTCCCCAAATTGCTTGTTTTGCATTTTCCCAGAGCACTTTGTACATCTGTTATCTACTGATACTGAAATTTGTTTTGAGACTATCTTCCTGCACTGGCTTCTCAAACTCAGGGACCTTGCATAGCAATTCTTTAGACACATGCTTGTTGAATGTTTCATAAAGATCAACAGGTTGGCAACATTTGGGTTTTTTTGACATTGTGCTCTCTCCCTCTGAGAATGCCCTAGGATTAAGTAAAAACTCCCAACAAGAAATTTAGAAGGTTTAATAATGCTAATTTAACAAAATTTCAAGTTTTTTTCTCCTTATCAGTTATCAAATGAAAAGTTTGGCCTCATGGAACACATTAGTAGAAAACATTGACTTTTACTAATACTGTTTCAAAATTGTACAGTTTCCGTTTAAACAGTATCTGAGCTGAGATTTGGTAAATGAAGGAAGTGGGTCTCAGTTTTGTTTGGTCTACAAATTATTGAGTTAATGACTGATGGGGTGGGAGTAAGACTGGTTCCTGGAATTGTGCTGGGGTCTGTTTCTTGGACTTACAATGCACCCTTGACTCTGGCCAGCCACCTTAGAAAATGCTACTGGTAGGAATGTAAAAGGATTTACAGTTAGTTGCATTACTGAGAAAACTGTGTCGGGTCCTATTCAGTTTTGGGTTTGTGGTGTCCTTGAGATAAAAGAGAAACACTTTGTTGCTCCACGCAATCAAAAGCTCCTTTTCTTCCTATCTAAGCTCCTTCTTTTTAATCTTAAAATCGTAACATTCCTCTCCAGCAATCAGGCATAAAGGCATGATTATGTTTTCCTCTATTTCGGGTTACTCCCTTCGCCTTGCAACCCCTCCTTATTCCTTTATCTCTCTTTCAAAGTTTCCATTCTCCCGTTTCCTTACTTTTTACTCCCTCGCTCCACTTTTTTTCCCAGCTAGTTTACCCCGCCCCTCGTTGTCATCACCTACCCTCCCTTACCAACTCCTTCCAGCTCCTAGTCCCGCCACCCCCCACCCCAGCTGTCCGCCCTCCCGCCTGCCTCAGGTTCAGAAAGCTCCAATCAGGAGCTCCGAAGGCCCGCCCTCTCCTCCCTTTCCACTTCTCCTCCCCCCAATTCCCTCCCCCCTCAAGTCCTGCGGACCTGGGGGGTTCGGGATCTGGGCGCTATGAAAAGTCTCTGCCCAGTCACTTCCGGTAAGGGCGCTGCGGCGCGAAGCTCCCCGCGGGACCGTTAAGGGAGGGGTGGGAGTTACTGGTGGGCCTGGGGAAGAGGGTGCTTCCAGGGAAGGGGAAATGGAAAGAGTGAGAGCGGGAGCGAAGTAGCCTGAGCATCTGGGGCACTTTAGCCGCCCCTCCACGAGCTAGCTTCCCCCCCCCCACCCCCGTGCGGCTGCAGTGCTTCCCTCACACCCCCCCTCTTTCCCCCGGAGACGTCGTCCCTCCCTCGGGTGCCGCGTGACCGGAAGTGGCGCCATCTTTAGCCTCTTGTGCTATTGACAATAACAAGCCCTGGTTCTCTCCTCCTCCCCCTCCCCCCAACCACAGCATCTCCCCTCCCAGGGAGAGGGAGAAAAGGAGGAGGAGGAGCTGCAGCTTCATAGACTTTCTGAGTCGCTCCTGCAGAAAGAGGGAGAGAGATTGAGAAGCAGGGGCGGGGGGACAGCAGGGCCGTTTACCTGTCTGCCTCCTCATTCGCTCTCCCCCCCCCTCGTTCTGCTCACTCCTGGTGTCAGCCTATCCGCCTTTCCAAACCCTCCCATTCCCCCGGTGTGGGCCCCCCCTTCACTTTCCTTGTCGTCCTCTGTGTTTCTCCTCTCTTCTTTCTTCCCTTCCCCCTCTAGCATTGCCACCCTCTCTCCTACACTCAACGAAGGCATATAAACCTAGGTTTTTGATGCTCCTCTGCCTGTTGACCCCGCTATTTTCATGTTTCCAACAGGTTTTTCTTCCCCCAATCCCTCAGCTGCTGCTGCTGCACAGGAGGTCAGATCTACCACTGATGGTAATACCAGCACCACTCCGCCCACCTCTGCCAAGAAGAGAAAGTTAAACAGCAGCAGCAGCAGCAACAGTAGTAACGAGAGAGAAGACTTTGATTCCACCTCTTCCTCTTCTTCCACTCCTCCTTTCCAACCCAGGGATTCAGCATCCCCCTCAACCTCATCCTTCTGCTTGGGGGTTTCAGTGGCTGCTTCTAGCCACGTACCAATACAGAAGAAGCTGCGTTTTGAAGACACCCTGGAGTTTGTAGGGTTTGATTCGAAGATGGCTGAGGAATCCTCCTCCTCCTCCTCCTCCTCTTCACCAACTGCTGCAACATCTCAGCAGCAGCAACTTAAAAATAAGAGTATATTAATCTCTTCTGTGGCTTCGGTGCATCATGCAAACGGCCTAGCCAAATCTTCTACTGCCGTCTCTAGCTTTGCTAACAGCAAGCCTGGCTCTGCTAAGAAGTTAGTGATCAAGAACTTTAAAGGTAACCAAGGCCAAAAATCCATAATCGCCTACTAAGGATTTGACACTTGAGCAATCACGTGCTCTATTTATGTTAATATATTAAACAGTATAGCGATCGCATAATGTTTTATGCACAATCAGTGAGGTGAAGGGGAGGTCCTTTTTTTGGTGGAGGGTTCATTTTCCGGGGGTGGTTTGTATCCCTCTGCTGAAGCATATAGTGTTTCTGTGCAGTGTTTGGTGATCTGCCTTAACCTATTGTACCTAATTTTCTTTGTAACATTGGCAATCTACGGTATGATTGATCCGGATTTTACAGGTGAGAAATTTGTACACTAAAGAGGTTTGTTTATTTCAGGTGCATTTCATCTTGGCACTGCTGAGATTTTAATTTTTCTGTTTCAGTAGGCCACATTCTCCAGTCCCTAGAAATGCAGGTAGAAATAGTGATCTTTACACGCTCAAATAAGATTTACAAGTAGACTTATAATGTTATAATGTTGAGTAGTACATTCATGAAACTTATTGTGAAAACAATATTTAGAGAAAAAATATTTAAGGTCTCTGTATTTTTTTTCCCAAAGGTAGGGTTTAGAAATGAAAAATAATGTGTATACATAGAAGCAGTAACTCTGTACCACAGTTCTAAAGATAGAAACAGTTACTATGTTTTTCTTCACTAAGATGGATTTTAAAGTATTGACCTGCAGATTTTAGGAAATTTTGCTCATATTTTGTTTGAGATAAGTGATTGAAAGTATTATGAAAGCATTGATGAAAATCAGCATTTAAAATGTACATGAGCTGAATTAATTTTATCTGTTGAATGTGTTTGTTTTTCTTTTTCACCATGTTTAACTGGCAGGTAATAGATGCTAAAATGTTTACTAAATGGAGAAGTAAATGAATGAACTTAAGTAATATTTATCAGTTAAGTGTCTCACGGCTAAATATTAGCATTGAGAAAATTAGTTATTTTATGCTTGTGTTTTCAGCATTAGTGTGGAACTCAGGATCAGGAATGTGCTGTAGTTTGTTCCAAGCAGAGGATTGTGCTGTTGTCTGTTCTTAACACTTTCTTTTTTATATCACTTTCTTCTCATCCCCAGGCTCTCAAGTGTTGTATTCCTTATGATTTAATAGTAGAGCTTTCTAAAGTGAATATGAATTGTAATTGACTAATGTGTTCATTATTTCAATTACAGATATATTGATTTAACATCAAGGATTTTTTAAAGAAATGATTTCAGAGACTTTGGTTATTATTCTCTGCCTCCTGAAGTAAAAAGCATTGAGGCATTTGGATGCTTTAATTAAGATTTTTTTCACTTAAGATGTTTCCATTCTGAAAATGTTGCATAGGTTCTGGAATCATTTGAATGTTTTATTTTTTTTTTTTGGCAGTACTGGGGTTTGAACTCTGGACCTCATACTTGTTAGGCAAGTACTCTACCACTTGGGCTGCACCTCCAGCCCATGGATATTTAAATTTTGTAAAAATTTCATTCCCTTGTAAATGTAGTTTAAAACCTAAGAAATTTTCTCGATTTCTTGGCTGCTGCATAAATTTGGAGGTCAAACAGACCTGGATTAGAATCCCAGCTTTGCCATTGACAAGCTTTGGTGACCTTGGACTAGCTTATCAAATGAGTTCCAGGTCTTAGTTTCCTCACTTGTAAAATAGGAATATTAATAATTACTCCAGCGCATTTCATTGTTGGGACTAAGAAGTTATAAAATACTTAGCAAATAGTATTTGAAATCTTAGGTACAGTACAAGTTTCATGTCAACTTAGATTTTACACATGATGGAGTAAGATCAGGATTGTTATTATCTGTCATTCTTGAAATTTTATTTTTTGAAGCAATACAATCAATAGAAAAACCCTCTCACCTTCAGTTTTAATAGGTGTGTCAAAATGTCTTAAAACAGTGTGCTGGCATTTTCAATTTTATTTATGCTGAGCTTAAATACAGTGGTTACTTTAATATTTAGGTATAATAGTTATTAAAAAATCCTAAAAATAGTAATTTTCTGCTTTATGGATCTTTAGTTACTATATCCCATACAATAATCTAATAACAATCTTTTACATATCATCTAGATAAACCTAAATTACCAGAAAATTACACAGATGAAACATGGCAGAAACTGAAAGAAGCAGTGGAAGCTATCCAGAATAGTACTTCGATTAAGTACAATTTAGAAGAACTCTACCAGGTATGTGTTAGTGTGGACAGCCAGACTGCATTTTGCTTTCTTTTTAGTTTTGTTCCTATATAGCCCAGACTGGTCTGGAATTCACTCGGTAGTCCAGGTTGGTCTCAAACTTGTGATTCTCCACCTCCCAAGTGCTGGGATTACAGATGTATACTACCTTTGACTTTATGAAATTGGTCCTGAGGAGATTTTTTGGTTCCTTTCTAATTGTAATTTCCTCGTCAATGACGTATCATATTTTATAATCAGATAACACGTACCCACATAAGCTTTGCCTACATAAATGGACCCTTTTGATGGGATTCAGTTGGGTATACTTTGGTATAATAGAGGTTTTACCTATTATGGAATTCGGTAGTATAGATCCTGAAGATGAAGTTGACACATCATTCAGTTGCGAATTGCTTAGTTGTGTTTCCACCTATAGGAGAGGAGTCAAGAGATGTAGATCTTCACATCCTTTATTCTCCATCCTCCTTTTTTTTTTTTTTAAGTGGGACTGGAGTTTGAACTCAGGGTTTCATGCAGGCACTCTACTGCTTGAACCGTGCCTCCAGTTTATTTTACTCTGGTTATGTGTTTCTTTCTTTCTTTTTTTTACTCTGGTTATTTTGGAGATGGTGTCTTGTGAACTGTTTTCCCAGGCTGGCCTTGATCCACAATCCTCCAGATCTCAGCTTCCCAAGTAACTAAGATTATAGGGTGCCCAGCTCTCCCCCCCTTCTTATCAGTAGTTTTTTGCCATTTTGTTCTTGCTCTTTGTGTCTGTTTTGTCTCTTGGTCTAGAGGACACACATTAGTCCAGAAATAAGCAGCCGATTATATTCCAGCAATTTAGTCTGATGTTCAAAATTTTTCCTTTTGCATAACAAATAGGTCTTTACTTTGATTGTCAAGAGCAGTTACTGATTTAGACTTCTTGCTACCAAGACGGTTTGTTTTGATTCACACAACTGAATCAAGAAGTTGTTTTCCTTTATAGCATCAGAATTTTGATATTTAAAAATACTTCTAGGTATAACAGTTTAAGTTTTTGTATTGGTGAGTACCTTGTAAGAAATTATATTGGTTCAATTTATCAGTATTTGTAGTTTTTATGTTTTAGTTGTAGAGGTAGTATGCCGATAGACAAACCCCAGAATTGGAGTCAAAAAACAGATTTGAGATCTAATTTTGCCTGCGGTTACCCTTGTGATCTTTGACAAGGTACTAAACCCCTCTCAGCTTTAGTTTCCTCTCCTGTAAAATAGGGGAACTTATACCTATCCTATCTACCCCTTGGGGTTGCTTATGAGAATCAAATAAGAGCTGGGCGCTAGTGGCTCATGCTTGTAATCCTAGTTACTTAGGAAGCTGAAATCAGGAGAATCATTGTTTGAGGCAAGCCTAGGCCAGTAGTTCACAAAACTCCATTTTCAAAATAACCAGAACAAAGTAGACTGGAGATGTGACTCAAGTGGTAGAGTACTTGTTGCTTTTTTTTTTGTGTGTGTGGGACTGGAGTTTGAAGGTTTCATGGTTGCAAAGCTGGTGACCACTTGAGCCACACCTTCAGTCCATTTTGCTCTGGTTGTTTTGGAGATGGGGTGTCATGAACTACTTTGCCTAGTCTGGCCTTGAACTATAATCCTGTCAATTTTAGCCTCTTACGTAGCTAGGATTATAGGTGTGAGCCAGTGGTGCTTGGCTGAGCACCTGCTTTGCAAGTGTAAAGTCCTGAGTTCAAACTCTACACCTTAATGAAGCACTGATATATAAACATACAATGATATTTTAATTGTCAAACTTTTTATAAATCACAGTATAGCTTTTTCACAAGTAATATGATAATTGAGATCACCAGTTTTTTGTTTCTGGGAAAATTAAATGAATCAATTCATGCAAAACATTCAGAACAATGCTCAACCTATGGTAATAATGCTATGTAAGTGTCAGCTGGTATTATTAAAACTAAACTATTTTTTTAAGGATAAGTCCACCAAATTTGGCTATTTTGGTACATTACATATGTGGCTCCTAAGTTGTATAATATCAAAAGTAAAATTAAGAAATTACAGTGGGAAAGGCCCAGTATCTTTTCATTATATAGTGTATGTGACAACCTGCTAAGCAGATTCATCTTTTATTTAATCTCATTCAAGCACTGCTGACACTCTTTACGAAGTAAACGGGGTAGTAGTTATTATCCTCACTTTATTGAGGAGGAGACTGAGTCTCGGAGAAGTTAAATAACCCACCAGAGTAATATATTGCAGAACAGGGGGACTCAAACTGAGATTCTTAATTCCTAGTCCAGTACATTTTTACTACCATGCTGCCTCACTAATAACACTACAGTATTTTAAATACCACTATATTGCAGTGCTTGAAGCAGGTAATTGTTTTACTTTAGAAGAAACTATCATCAGAGCAGGTGATTAATGTTTTCATTTGTATATGTTTATTGTATTTATTTGGATGTGCTGGTGTGCAGCATATTTAATTTCAATAATATATATTTCATATTTATAATGTTGATTGCAGTTAACACTATTCACCTTGAATATTTTTTAACAGAAGAATATTATTTTCACTGATACATTGATTCTGTTAAAACCTTTGCTATTTCAGTTTATGATTTTTGTGGTTTTTTTTTATAGGACTGGGGTTTGAACTCAGGGTTTCATGTGTTTTTTTTCCTTTTTTTTTTCGGTGCTGGGGACTGAACTCAGGGCCTTGCACTTGCCAGGCAAGCGCTCTTCCACTGAGCTAAATCCCCAACCCCATCATGTGCTTTTTTTAATGGGACTGGAATTTGAACTCAAGACTTCAAGCTTGCAAAGCAGGCGCTCTACTGCTTGAGCCATGCCTCCAACCTATTTTGCTCTGGTTATTTTGGAGATGTGGTTTTGTAAACTGTTTGCCCAGGCTGGCCTTGAACCTGGATCCTCCAGATCTCAGCCTCCCAAGTAACTAGGATTACAGGCATGAGCCACCAGAGCCTGGCTTGTTTTTGCTTTCTTTATTTCAGAAGTTTTTTTTGTTTTTGTTTTTGTTTTTCCCTTCTCCCCATTCCTGGAACAGTTTCAACGGGTATCATTTTTCCATTTTCATATATGAGTGCATAATACTTCCACTATACTCACCCTCCTACATACTTCAGAAATTTTACTTGGTATTGTTCAATTACATTTCTTTCTTTCTTTTTTGGTGGGACTGGGGTTTGAACTCAGGGACTTACTAGGCAAGCACTCTACCACTTGAACCCCTCCACTGGCCCATTTTCGTGTTGGGTGTTTTCGAGATAAGGTCTTGCAAACCTTGATCCTCCTGATCTCAGCCTCTCTAGTAGATAGGATTGCAGGTGTGAGCCACCAGCACCCAGTTTAGTTGCATTTCTTTAGCCTGAAGTCATACGTGTTAGGACTTTTTACTGTTTTGCATTTTTCATAGTACCTTACCATTTCTTCTATAATACATTCAAAAACATTTGTTTCTAGTTCTTTTATTGTTTTTGACCTTAATTTTATAAATGCTTCTTTGGATTGTTCTCAGAAAAATTACTCTGAGATGTTGAAGTTCAAAAATTAGGTTAAGGTATTTTACCATGGAGGTGCTTGTTTGATTTTGGTACTCTCCTAAAATTGAACAATATAGAAAGATGTGTTTGTATAAACAAAGGTTCTCCAAACCCCTATCCTTCCCTCTTTCCCTGAAGGAAACACTTTTATTGGCACATATCTGTCCATAACTTTTATTTGCATTAAAACCCATTTTGTTTTAAAGCATAAGTATGGAAGTCACTAGTGTGGATTGTGTGTACTACCTACTAAGTTTTTAATTTCTAGAAAAGAACATACTGTTCAGAATGCATTCGCAGTAAGCAAACATTGTCTTTTGAAGTAATTTCAAATGAGAATTGTACCTGAATTTTTAAATTACAGTTTCTTGATAAACTTGAAATCATGTGTGAGGCAGCAGTTAATAGTTTGGTTTGGTTTGTTGTGTTTGTTTTTGATTGACTGCAAATAGGACTGTGGTTAAATTTACTAATTTGAGTTGGTTAGCCTACTTTAAATTAGAGATTCTTTGTTGTTTTATTTTTTGAGACAGTCTTTCTTTGTATAGTCCAGGCTGGACTAGAAGTTGAGATCCTTCTGCTTCTGCCTTCTGAGTACTGAGATTGCAGGTGTGTTGTAAGATTAGAGATATGTCACTTACCCTGAAACTTTGGGCTAGTTATTTCTCTGTGTCATTTGCAAAATGGAGAGACTTAATCCATTATTTGTATCACCAGGATGTTTAATTGTAAATAAAATACTACAAAAAAGTACTTACTATATTCTTTGCAATATATTGGTTTTCATCAATGATAAATATTTGTGTCTTTAAAAAAGAAATTTTTATTTTTAAATTATATTTTATTTTAAAGCCATATTTCTCAGGGCTTCCCACTTGCAAAGCAGGCACTCTTCTGCTTGAGCCATACCTCTAGTCCATTTTGCTCTGGTTAGTTTGGAGATGGGGGTCTCATGAACTGTTTGGCCAGGCTTGCCTTAAACTTCGAGCCTTCTGATCTCGTTCTACCAAGCTGGTGGTATGAACCACCAGCGACCATTTGCAGTTAGATTCTTGATAGTGTTGAGGAGTAGCTATGGATTCTCTGTAAGTGTAACTGTTGTCGCCCTGTTAATGTTTTAAGAGTAAACACTGTTACATGTTACATATTTCTCCTAATTTTTTTAATTGTTAGTATTAGTACTGCTTTTTTAAAAAAGATACACAATTACAAAGTCAAGGTCTTTTATAATTTTTTATCTTATTGAAGCCCTGTTTACTAGATGTAAAAAGTATAAGTAATTTAGGTTTCAATGTATGATTGTATGATTGGTTTCCTTTTTGCAATTCTTAGTATTTTGATTTTTTATACTAGATGTAAAAAAAGATACTTTTGTTTTATTGCTGAATCAGTTGTTGGAAAGTTTTGTGCTATAAGTTTCCTTTCTGGGTTTTGTCTTTGAAACAGGGTCTTACTGTATATGTAGCATAGGCTGGCTTTGAACTCTCAATCCTCCTGCCTCACCTCTCAAACTTCACATCTTCATGCCTCATCCTCTTGAATGCAGGAATTACAGAAATGTGACAACACAGTGGGTTTGCTTTCCTTTCTTTAAACATAACAGTTTGAGAAATAAGACGTAGCCTATTAGGTAGATGACTAGAGTTAAGCATGTGGGTACTCAGTGTCTTTCTTACTGTCTGTCTTTAAGTATATACTTGCATGTCATTTGCCACAAATTTATATTTTATTTGGAGTGTATGCTTTTTTTCAAACAAGTTTTTAGTGTGATGTATGTATTTTGAAGGAGAGGAATTGGGATTTGAAGGAATAAAGGTTAAAAGTTTGCTAGAATGTTTGTATTTTATACCTGATTACCATCAAAGGTTTTAAGACCCTCTATTTACCCCCTAATGATTGGGAGCTTAAGTTAAAAGATAGCTTTATTTAAAGAACTTGTAATAAAACTATATCTAAACTCAGTTTAATACAAATAGGTATTGTGAGACAAGAGATTATTTTAGTAATAATTATACTAAACCAAGCTCTAGGGATTTCAAAATGTTATTTAATAAAATGAAATTATTTCTAAAAGTACATTTCAACAATCTGGAAAAAACAGAGCTTGTGTCAGACATTTTTTTGAGGCTGGCCTGGAACTCTGGATTGTCTTGCCTTAGTCTCCCAAGTGTTGGGATCACGTTTGTACCACCATGCCTCCCCTATCTCAAACTCTTAAGTAGTGATTTAACACTTTCTTTTTCCTCTTTCTATCCCAGCACCTAACAAGATGCAGATGCTTAGTAAATACTCATTCCTTGTTGTGTCAGTGACTGCTTACTGTGTATAAAAATAAATCCTTTGAAGGCATAGAAATCACTTAGTCCTTGCCCCTGAGATGCTTATGTTCTACTGAGTTCATAGTCAGCTTTTTGTCTGTGGTGCTGGGATCAAATCCAAGGCCTCGTGCATGTTAGGTAAGCCCTCTACCACTGAGCTACGGCGTAGCCCCTAAGTCAGTGTTTTAAAAAAGAAATACAATAGAAAATATTAAAAGTGCATTATACATAGTAATGATGTATAGTTTTGAGAAGATTTTGTTTCAGTTACATAAGTTTATGTGCAGTGGATTGTGACATAAAATATATTTCTTAACTGTGGCTTTGGGTCAGAAAGTTTTAGAAGCCGTTATACTAGGCACAAGTGTCTGCTCAAAACAAACCTTGCTCAAAAGTGAGGAAAACAGTGTTTAGATCACAGGGCATGTGGAAGGTTATTATCATACATAACACTAAAATAGTAAGATTGGGTTTTGAATACCATGGTAAGAAGTGTGGTGGCAGGGAAGATGGAAAGAATTTTTATTGGAGGAGGTAGGTATTTAAGTAATTTTGAATATACAGCTATCAGGTTCAAAACCCAAGAAGTTTTACAGAGAATATAGTGAAAAATCTCACTTCCACCCCATCCTGCAACTCCACAGGTACCCCCCCACCTTTTTTTTGGCATCTCTGGGGTTTGAACTCAGGGTCTCACACTTGTTAGGAGGCACTCTTACCACTTGAGTCACTCTGCCAGCCCATCTACTTCCCCTTTCGACAGACCTTGTGTGTGTGTTTGTGTGTGTGTGTGTGTGTGTGTTGGTTGGGAGGGGTAGAGGAAGTAGTTTTGCTTTGTTGTCCAAGCGATGAGCCCAAATGATCCTCCCACCTCAGCCTCCCAAGTACCTGGACTACAGGCATGCACCAACATGCCTGACTTCAGGTTTGTGGGGTTTTTTTTTTGTGGTACTGGGGCTTGAACTCAGGGCCTCATGCTTATTAGGTAGGCATGCTAGCACTTGAACCACATCTCCAGTCTATTTTGCTCTAGTTATTTTGGAGATTGGGTCTTGTGAACTATTTTCCCCAGCTGACTTTGAACTACACTCTTCCTGATCTCTGCCTCCCAGGTAGCTAGTTGTTTTCTATGAAATTTCTCCATAATGAGAACTACTTGATGGAAAGTTGTTGAGGAAGGAAAATTATTAGATCTGGTCTAACATCTACTGGATATGTTCAGTATGAATCAGTGCTGAGTTAGGGAAGCAAAGTGATGGCCAGGTGTAGTGGTGCATGCCTATAATTCTACCTACTTGGGAGGGGAAAATAGGAGGATCTAAGTTCAAGGCCAGTCTGGCAAAAAGTTAGCAAGGCCCTAACTCAAAATCAAGCTGGGTGTGGTGGCTTATTCCTATTATCCTAGACACTTTGGAGGTGGAGATAGCAACATTTCGATCTGAGGATGACCTGGACAAAGGTGTGAGACTGTATCTGAAAAACAAACTAAAACAAAAAGTTGGGGTTGTGACTCAAGTATTAGGAGGCCCTGAGTTCAGTCCCTCTTACCCCTTAAAAAGAGAAGCAGAAACTTGACCTTTGAAACACACCTGAGTAGTTTTGTCTTTCTTCCCTCAAACTTATCTTTTTATGTTGCTGGAGATCGAACTCAAGGCCTCATGCATGCTAGGCAGCACTTGAGCTATGGCTCTAGTCCACCTTAAACTTCTTATACCATCTTCCAACTAAGCATAGATAAGGCTGTATGTGTATACAGTCCACCTTAATTCTATATTATTCATTATTCTCACTAGTTCTTTCTTCCTTTGGGTCTTTGGGGCTCTGCCTCTTTACCTCTGCCTAGGAAAGTTTTCGTAACTTTCCCACCCTAAAGGCTGGGTTCAGGGCCTCGTCTCTGCTTATCCCCTTTATAGCATGTAGCACACTCTGCTGTAATTACATGTTGTCTTGCTGTTTTTTCATTCTACTAAAAGTATATGTTATGTATAGGACACAGTGCCAATTGTAGATACATTAGTGTTTTTTTTGATACTTCAAGGCTCAAAAAATTTTAAACAACTTACAGATACATGACCATGTGATCACTCTGTCATTAAGGAGAGTCAAGGAGATAGAATATACACATACAGAAATACATAGTATTTATTTAGTGATAAGTCTGTGGCATGATGGGTGGGAGTGCTTTGTGAGTCACTGAAAGCTGAGGCAGTTAAGAACTAAGTTGAAGAAGTGGTATCTAGTTGAGTAGTAAGGGAACATACAGAATATTGTGTGAGAAGACAAATAGATGTGTCAACAACTGCTTTATGGGAGAAAGAACACAACAGAAGGAAATGGAATAATAGAATTTAGAGAAATATTGGAAGTGGGAATAGTGGAGAAGGTAAAGAACTCACTAAGTCATGATAGAATCTAAGCAGGGAGATGTTGAGAAAATGAGACAGTCATTCTAAAGGAACTCTGAAATACAATAAAAGGAATATTAAAGGAGGAGGGGAAACTGTACATAGAGGACAACTGTGAACAGAGAGGCACATGGAATAAACATAAATGTACCCTTAGGCATTTGTGGCCTAACTCTAGGTTACTGAGTCTGTCTGAGGAGACTCAGATTTCCTATTTCTCCATAGCTACTGAATCTAATTGGCTTACTCTTTCCTGGTGAGGTGTGGTGACTTCCCTCCAATAGAGTAAGTGACTTCCTTTAAACTTTCTTTTCATTTGCTAATTTACTGTACTTGCGTACGTACCAGTAACATGAGTTCCAACTACATCTTTATAAAATTCCAGTCCAACCAACAGAACTTGAATTCCCCGCCGAGCCCATTTTAATGGGACTTTTGTCTTCTGTTGTGGTGTGAAAGGAATCTTGATGTTATAGTTAAGTAATAACCCTTGGAATTGTAGATTATATCAGAGTTCACCAGAATTTTATCATGCCTAGTTTTAAATCTGAAAGTCTTTGGATAGACATAACAAACTCAGGAAATCAGAATGTGTCCTGCCTGTTGAGATCTGAGTATAATAGAGGACCAGTTCAGCTGTTAAAATGAAGTAAAGACATAGTCATTTCTTTTGTAATTAATGTTTATTTCTTTGGGGAAAATTTTAAGACCTCTGTATTTAACTATTTTTAAACTGAAACGTCAGAATACTTCTTGGTCTCGAATTATACTTATTTAAATACTGCTAACAATAATTTCTGCTTTGTTTTGTTCAGGAAGACCCAAGAAAGTATAAAAAAAAGTTTAAATTCAGTTATAGCAGTAGTGTCTGACCCGCTTTATACATAAACAATCGGTGAAATTATTTTTTAAACTTAAGATGGACTTCTGCTTGTGAAAATGATTAACATTTTGAAGAATAAGACTGCTTTTTGTGTAGAAGTTGCTACAAATTAGATGCCCTCACAGGGATAGAACCTGGCTTGATTCTCTCCATCCTTAACTTTTACTACCACAATAAATATATTAACTTGTGGGTTTCTTTGGTATAGTACATTGGTTATGAAAAAGTTTGCCAATCACATTGATATATTTTGTTATTTTACCTTGTGACTTTTTTCTTTTGAGAGGGCAGTCTGGTTAAGATGCCCATGTTGTCCTTGAACTTGTGATCCTCCTGACTCAACCTCTTGAGCCTTCTTTGTGTCTTTTATGGATGAATAGCTCCTTTTAATAAGTTGGTGTGGCAGAAATATCAAACTAATAGGTATTTCATGTAGATACTTAAGAAACATTCCCCATCCTCTCCCTAAGAAATTATGTGTTTAATATTGCAGGCTGTAGAAAATCTCTGCTCTTACAAGATTTCTGCAAACTTGTATAAACAGCTGAGGCAGATTTGTGAAGATCACATCAAAGCACAGATTCATCAATTCAGAGAATATCCTTTTAAAAATAAAACATCTTACATTTTTATCTTTTCTTCCCTGCCCTTCACTGTTTAAGCCAGCTTCAATTTAAATGCCTGTGTTTTGTAGATTTGTTATTGTTTTCTTTTGTGTTTCTAGAGGAAGAAACAAATTTTTGACTTTTTAGCTTTAATTAGAGTCTACATCTACATGTGGTATTCATGTAAATAAAATTTCTTTATATCTTTACCCTTTTGTCGTAGCAAATTTCCATTTGAGGAAAGATAATCTTCTAAGGGAAATCATACACTGCAAACATTATGCTTAATTATATTTAACACTGGTTTTTAAAGGTGTCTTACTGTGATCTAAAATTTTTATACAGTTTAAGAAATAGCATTTTGCTCTATAATTGCTATTTATTTTCATTTACTAAATAGTGTTCTATATTTAAGGCAGATATGCTCTTACATTGCATATATTATTTGTACTAAACACTTTAAAATGTCCTTAACATGTATCTCATGGATTCATTGGATAGTGTTCTTTTTCTAAAGAAGATTGATAGATGCTGGCAAAACCATTGTAGGCAAATGGTAAGCTAGAAATACTACACTTTAGCCTAAACATTGTAGTTAAAAAATACAAGTACAGGAATGTTAGTTTTAAAATCTTTGTAATATCCATATATAAAAATGTCATAATGAAACTCATTACTTTGTATAATTAATATATGCTAATTAAAAAATAAAAGTTTTGTAATAGGAGACAATAATTGCTCCTTTTCTGAATTAGGAGCTAATTTTCATTAAGTTTCTTTTAAAACTATAAGTTTTAGGTAAACCAGCATTTCAGAATAAACTTGTATCTTTTTTTCTTTTTTTAACTCAGGGCCTACACCTTGAGCCACTTTGCCAGCCTATTTGTATGATGTTTCTCCCCAATCCCTCCATAGGGTCTCCACTGGTGCCTGGCTATGACTTGTATCTTAAGAGTCATTTTTCCCTTTTTTTGTGGTACTGGGGTTTGAACTCAGGGTCTCACATTTGCTAGTCAGGCACCTCATCACTTGAGCCATTCTGCCAATAAGAGTAATTTAAATTTTTGCTAAATTATTTGTTAAACAACAAATTACTTATCGCATTAAACATTTACATTTTCCCTGTCTTTTTCTTCTATTTCCTTTTGGTGGTATGGAATTTGAACTCAGGGTCTACAGCTTGAGTCACACCCCAACCCTGTGTATCAGTCTTAATGACTATATTCTATCTACTGTTTGATTACCTGTGAAAGGTACCTGATGGTATTTTTCTTTTTGTGGGACTGTAGTTTGAACTCAGGGCTTCACACTCACTCTACTGCTTAAGCCATACCTCTAGTCCATTGTGTTTTGGAGATGGGGGTGTCAAGAACTATTTGCCCATGCTGGCCTTGAACTCCAGTCCTCCCAATCTCAGCCTCCTAAGTAGTTAAGATTGCAGGAATTAGTCACTGGTGCCTGGCTCTGATGGTATTTTAAGTTCATTCATATCACAACCTTTTCTCCCTAGTCTGACATTAGTTTATTCCTTATATAATGCAAATTGAAATATTAAAGTACATTTCCCACCCTCAAAATGCCACAAATACAATTTAAGTCAGCTTCACCCCCTTGCATTATTGATAACTAAGGAAGAATTGTATAAATTTTCTCTTGACTTCCTATTTTTACTTTCAATTATTTCTTAAGTAGCAAATAAGTCAGAGGACCACTTTTAAGTGTCTTTTTTTTTCTAGAAACCACCAAAAGGATTGAGACAAGATAATAATTTAATGAAAATGGTATGGGTATATTCTCAGAAAAAAATGTGTTTATCCTAGTAATCTACTTAGTATAAAACCTTTCAGTTTTCTTCTTACTTTATTGAGGAAATATTTCAGTTTTACAAAATTAAACTTGTTTGGTTTTTTTTTGGCAGATAATGATCAGGAGCATTTTTTTGTTTCTGGATAGAACTTACGTTCTTCAGAATTCAATGCTACCCTCCATTTGGTAAGGATGCCAGAGAATTGTTATGAAAACATTTGTTACAAATCATAGTCTTAATTATAATAATAAAAGAGAGCAAGTTGTACTGTGAGTGTTCTCCTAAAAGTTCACATTTTGCTTCTCGCCTCTTACTGTTTTGCCTGTGCTAATATTGAAGATGGCTAACTTTCCCTGAGCATATATTAATGTATGAAGAAGTTTCTTTTTTTTTTTTTTTTGCAAGTAAGAAGATTAAAGTTAGCTCTGGGATATATGTGAGTGAATCATTTTGCTGCTGATCATCAAGATTTTACTCATTTTCTTGTCACAGTATTATGGAAAAGTCTGTGTATACACAAAAATGGAATAGTATAATGAAGTCTTCTCACACTATGTGCCTACCGTTTATCTATAGCAGTGATCAGAGTTCACTGATTTGGAGTACTAAAGCCAGTTAATAAATGATCAAATAAGCTTTCATGTCAGTACGGTGGAAATTTTGTCTTTGAACTAACTTTTGAGACAGGATCTCACTGTGCAGCTTAGCTTTGCATGGCATTCACTATGTAGCCCAAGCTGTCCTCAAACTTGGGATCTCCTACCTCAGCCTCCAGAGTGCTGGGATTACAGATGTGTGTCACCACACCCAGCTTTTTTGAACTAATTTTATCTCTTCATTTGACTAAGGAAGAAATCCAACAGAGGAAATAATAAAACAAAATTTAGTTAAGGAGGAAGACAGGAATTCAGTTGTAGTTCTCATTAAAGACAATGTGAGTTTCCTGTATGCTTTAATCTAGTAATGTTATTCAAAATTAAAATGTGGATTTTATCTTTTTACAATTGCTGCTTAAAAGCCTGGAGCCCTAATTAACATGTGGTAAGAAGCAAGCTTATTCAGAAGTGGTATTGTCAATTAACTTAGATGATAATGTTTTTTGTTTTAGGGACATGGGACTGGAGTTATTTAGGGCTCATATTATAAGTGATCAAAAAGTCCAGAATAAGACAATTGATGGCATTCTTCTCTTGATTGAGAGGGAGAGGAACGGTGAAGCAATTGATAGAAGTTTACTGCGAAGCCTTTTAAGCATGCTCTCTGATTTACAAGTAAGTTACTTCACTACCTACAGATCTGATTGCTGTCCTTAGTTTTGATGTTTAAAATCCAAATTTATTGTGTTGTTCATGTAGAAGACATTCTGTAGATATTTATTGAAAAAATGAGCTCCTTCATTTTGTTCCCCTCTTACAGATTTATCAGGATTCTTTTGAACAACGATTTTTGGAAGAAACTAACCGGCTCTATGCAGCTGAAGGCCAAAAGTTAATGCAAGAAAGAGAGGTATTTCAAAGTCATGATTAATAAATCTACTATGTCTTTACAATGGATCTTACTTTGTTGAACATAATTGTCCCTTTGCATTTATCTTCCCAATATTATGGTGCTCTTTTCTCACTTAGGTGCTCCTTTCTTTTCTCTCTTCTTAAAGGCCAGAATTCTGGATCATAAACTCTACCTATAATTTTACATATGATTCAGCCCTGTCACACTTGACAGGGCTGCTCCCAGGATCTTTTGGAGTTGACATTTTCTGAATGATTTAAGGGGAGGAAATCAATAATATAAAAAAAACTATCTTTGTAGGTTCCTGAGTATCTTCATCATGTTAACAAACGTCTAGAAGAAGAAGCAGACAGACTTATTACTTACTTAGATCAGACCACCCAGTAAGTATTGCATGCTCAGCTTAATAGTTTTAAACTCTTGTTAAATCATGTAAGGCACTTTAGGCATCTTAAACATGTTAATAATAATTCTCAGGTATGATTTAGACTTTAACAGTTGTTTTCATAATACAAACTTCAAGTTATTTTCTCTAGTTAATTAGATTTAATCAAGGATTTGATTGTTGTGTGTGTTTAAGATGTACTTTAAAAGTAGTATTAGAGGTTGATGTGATCTTTTAAATCCTTAGGCTGATTAAAATTTAATGGGTAGGTGTTCATAGGAGAAACTTTCTGTACTTTCCTAAATATTGCCAACCAAGGGGTTCCAGTAAGTAGCATAGATAACTTCTTTACCACCTTAGTAAAAGCAGAGAAACATGCCTACATACCATTTTTTTCTTGGGAGCCAAATGTATAATCTAATTTTGAATTAGTTGCACGTGGTTCAGTTACTTGCTCTCAATTCTGTCTGGCCATTTGCCATTTCTCAAGTTTCTGTTTTATTCAGGGAAATCTGAATAGTCTAGAATAATTTTTGGAAAGAGTCAATGAAGCCAACCTCCTGGAGGCTGGTCTGTACTTATTTCATCTGGGCATGTACCTTAGAGACTTTGAAAAATGAAAAGCTCTTATTTTGTACCCTGGGTAAATGTTAGTTTCTGTATTATTGGTTTAATGTCTAACAAAATTAAGAAAAAGTGTGCTTGTTTAAAAAAAAATAAAGGCAAAAAAACTTGAGAATACAAGTCAGCCACAGCAAGACCTTGGAGATACTTACTTCATGATGTAAATGATTTTCTGAAATATATACTGTTTTTTTCTTCTAAGCATAAAGTAGAGTAACTTTTAGCACTATTAAATTGATATATAGGATGGGAGTGTTGAAATTAACATAAAATGAGGTATTTCTCCCCCCCCAGGAGAGGCTTTACATTTTCAAGAAAGTGAAATGTCAATAATTCTAAAAATTTTCCCTTGTAGGAAGTCATTAATTGCTACTGTAGAAAAACAACTTCTAGGTGAACACTTAACAGCAATTCTTCAGAAAGGTAATTGGCAATTTGTAAATAAGACATTGTTTTTAAATGGTAGTAGTAAGCCAGTGGGGGATTTAAAAAAATCTATTTAAAAGATTGATAGATTTTTTTTTTGGCAGTACTGGGGTTTGAACTCAGGTCCTTAAGCTTTCTAGGCAGCCACTCTGCCACTTGAACCAAGCCTCTAGCCCTTTCTGAGGATAAGCTCTGGAGGTGCCAGTTTCCTTAACTAAAAGATGGAGGAACTGAGAAGAGGGGTCCACCAGCACAAGTAAAGAAACAGTGAGGGCCAGGCAAACAGTGAGGGCCAGGCATGGCTCAGTGGTAGAGGGCTTGCCTAGCATGCACAAATTCCCTGAGTGCATCCCCAGCACTACAAAACAATGAAACAGAAACAGTAGAAATTGGGGAATTTTTTTATATGTAAGACTCTGGTAAGGAAAGGCACCCCTTTTACACTGAAGTGAAGTGTGTGTGTTTTGTTTTGTTCTTAGCATATAAAACCAAGTACTTCTTTTAATCCTAAGTGATCTTTCAGTATAACCTGAATTTTAGTTCAGTGGTGCCACAAATAGGTAAAAATCTTACCTTGTCTCCAATAATCTTTTTTTTTGTATAAAATGATGGGTATATTTAGAGCTTTAGTGAAGTTATATTATTTCATATTATGAAGTGTAATGTTTCATAATATAACTTTCATTCTGAAAGCCAAATACATTAGAACCTCATTTAAAGTTGACTTTTTAATGTATGACTTGATTTATCACAGTTTGTATTCAGTGTTCTGAAATATAGGTATATATAGTAATGCCAGATAAAATATGGCACTGCATATGACATACTTGTAATACAGATTTATATAAGCCAGTTTTTATACATTGGTTTATACATCTCATCTACCATGTAAGTGGCACAAACCATTATTCAGCCAACTATTTTTATGACAACTAAAGTAGTTTATATTTAGTTTTCACTCAGAAAGATAGTTGTCTGTTTGGATTTAATTCACTGGAGATCTCTGTATTATAATTCATAGACAGATTAGTCATAGATCAGGCCAGTACCACATTAATAATTTTAACTTAAATTTTGTTTAAGTAGGTGGCTTTTTGTTTCACTTTTTAGTTTACTGTATTTTAATGCCAAAATGTTTCAAAATCCAGGTTTAAATAACCTCCTTGATGAAAATCGAATTCAAGATTTATCTCTTTTGTATCAACTGTTCAGCAGAGTTCGAGGTGGAGTTCAGGTTCTCTTACAACAGTGGATTGAATACATTAAGGTATTAACAATTTGCCTGTGACTTTTCTTTTTTAATGGTTTATAATTTGCATACCCATAGTATCAGCAAGCAAGATCAGCAAGATCCAAATTATTTTTAAGTAGGGGAATTTTGAATTGTTTAAAAAGCACAAAGAAAATTCTAGAAGTGGACCTGAGAGTGATAGCTATGTGGCATATCAGCAATAAAACCTGACTGCTGTTTGATGTGATTTTTAGTTCTAACACTTAAAGTACTGAATGTGAGGAAAAGGATTTTTATTGCTTCTTATCCTTTTGGCTGAGGTCTGGTATAGTATCTGTGACTTTTTGAACCACAAATTTCTTTCCTTCCTTTAATTATACTGAAGTCAAATTACTATTTTAAAATTTCAAAGCTGACTTCTTTATTTTTTTAATTTTTATTTTTTCCTATGTTTTTGAACAGTATATTTCTATTACTATTTCTTTGTTTTTATTTTAAATTTTTTATTAGCATATTGTAGCTGTAAAGAGGGATACTTGTGATATTTGCATATGTACTTATATGTTAATTAAATTCACCCCTCCACTCTTCTCCCTAATCCCTCTTTTCCCCCTTCTTAGAACAATTTCAGCAGATTTCATTCTTTTATTTTCATATATGAATACAACATACATCTACCATGTTCTCCCTCCTTTATCCTTTGCTTATGCCCGCCCCCTTCCTATTGGTACCCATCCTTGAACTGTATCTGTTTTACCTTTCTGCCCTTCATTAAAAAAAAAATTCCATTAGTTTATGGGGGTTTCATTGTGACATTGCCATATATACATTTTTTTTAAGGTGGTACTGGGGTTTAGACTTGGCCTCATGCTTGCTAGGCAGGTACTCTACCACTTGAACCACACTCCCAGCCCTTTTTTGTGATGGACATTTTTGAGATAGAGTCTCGCAAACTGTTTGCCTGGTGCTGGCTTCAAATCTCAGTCCTTCTGATCTCTGCCTCCTGAGTAGCTAAGATTATAGGTGTGAGCCACTGGCACCCGGCTTATATACATATTTTATATACCAAATTGGTTCATTCCCTCCATCATTGTCCCTCTTACCCAGTTCCCCTTCTTATTTTATTTATTTATTTATTTTTTTGGTAGTACTGGGGTTTGAATTGAGGGCCTCATGCTTGCTAGGCAGGCACTCTACCACTTGAGCCTTTAAGGTGGCTTCAACAGGTTTCAATTTTCCCTGTTCATACTTGTATAGAAAGTACATCAACCATATTCCCCCTCCTGTATTCTTTTCTTTTACCCTACCCCTCCTACTAGTGCCCTTCTTTTAACATGGCCTGTTTTACATTCCTGTCCTTCATTGTTTAAGGGTCTGTTAGTGTTTCAGTGGGGATTTTGCCAAAGTATTTTAACTGTAAATACATTGTCAAAGGTGACTTCTTTAAAGAGAAGAAATAGGTGGGCACTGGTGGCTCAAGCCTATAATCCTAGGTACTTGGGAGGCTGAGATCAGGAAGATCGTGGTTCAAGACCAGCCTGGGCAAATGGTTCTCAATGCTGCATCTACAAGAATTACCAGAGCAAAATGAGAGATATAGCTCAAGTGGTAGAGTGCCTGTCTAGCAAGCACAAAACCCTGAGTTCAAAGCCCAGTACTACCATACATAAATACATACATCTATATACACATACATATATATGTATACATACATAAACAGAATGGATCCTTGAAGCTTCTTATACTCTGTTAAAGATATTGTGTACCCAGTAGTCAGTCATTCCTTATTAGGTTTGTGATTGTATGTTAATGGTATCAATTTAGATACTCTATTACTTTATGTTTTCTTTTCCTCACTTCAGAAATAGCTTTTATTTTTTTTTAGGGTCTTCAAATACATGTGTCGATTTACAATGTGACTTTTGGATTAGTTTCATTGTAAATAATCAGTTTCATTAAAAAGTACCAACTTTTTATTTTTAGGCCTTTGGGAGCACTATTGTTATTAATCCTGAAAAAGATAAGACCATGGTTCAAGAATTGCTGGATTTTAAAGATAAGGTTGACCATATAATTGATATTTGCTTTCTGAAGAATGAAAAATTTATTAATGCCATGAAAGAAGCATTTGAAACATTCATTAACAAAAGACCAAATAAACCTGCTGAACTTATAGGTATGTTTCCAATCCTTTATCCAGTTAATGTTTTACTTTTACTTGTAACCTCTAAGCTGAAATTTGGCAAGGTTGTAGTATACTAATATTTCATTTATTTGGAGTTGCTTAGCTGGTAATACCAAGTATGACAAGTGTCTCTAAGGACCTAGATGTAAGTAATATCCTTCAAACTAAAGAACATCTCAAAACTGAGATGTCAAAAATGATATACATTCTTTATAAGACAAAACGTTGGCCTCATTTACTTTTATTGATAGTAAACTTGATTGTCTGCTTGCCAAACCTGCAGTGACTTAGAAATGGGGCCAGGTGCTATTTCTAGAAGTCCACATGTAGGTCTACAAGAAAGGCAGCATGATGTTACAGTTGCCCATGAAAAAAGGAAAAAGTCCAGGATGAAAATAAACCTAATAATCTGGGCCCACTAATTGAACAGGTGTAGTATATACTGCAATGCTTGTCTGGTTTTTCCACACATGCACCCATTAATATCAAAGGAGGGAGTTACCCTGAGGAGGTCTGGGGATGTCCTTTGCCAGAAGGATGAAATAAGTATTTTTATTTATCTTTACAAGTTTTATAAACTTTGCTTTCTACTCTGTAGGGTATCTGGTTTATTTTAATAAAAAAACTAATTTTCTGGGCATCATGGTGCCCAAGTCTAATCTAGTACTTAGGAGACTGAAGTAGGAAGATCATGAGTTCAAGGCTAGCCTGTTGTACATAGCAAGAACTTATTTCCAAACAAACAAAAAAGTAATCTTTAAGAATCCTTACCATCACTGTAAAATGGATAGATAATCCAGAAGATGGCCCAAGTCTTTTCATGGCTTTGTTACCCCCACTACATGCATGGGGTATCCATATCCCATTTTTTTAAATATCCTTATAGCAGAAATCTTGAGTCAGAAGACATAGGTTTGAGTTTAGGCTCTGGTGTTTATTAGCTCTGTGGCATTGAACAAATTACTTATCTCCCTGACTTTGGAGTCTTTAAAACACACACACACACACCACGTATGTATGTATGTTTGCATGTGCATGTATATGCAGCACTGAAAAACTCAGTATATCATACGCCTCTTTGGCGTATGTACCTCATGGATATCTGTGGTCATTAAACAACATTCTTTTCCTCTATCTTAGCTAAGTATGTTGATTCAAAACTTCGTGCAGGCAACAAAGAAGCTACAGATGAAGAACTTGAGAAAATGTTGGATAAAATTATGATCATATTTAGGTTTATTTATGGTAAGTGTTTGTTACTTATTTTGTATTTATTTTTCATCATTTTTTTTCAGCTGTCATTCAGAAACATTATTACTATTATTTTCTTATTCGTTTATTCATATGTGCATACATTGTTTGGGCCATTTCTCCCACCTACCCCTCCCCCTCTCCCCACCACCCCACCTTGCTTCTGGGCAGAATCTGTTCTGCCCTTATCTCTAATTTTGTTGAAGAGAGAGTATTGTTACTGTTTTAAGTTTTTTCTTTTAAAACAAAGCACTGAGAGAGAAACTAGCAAGTATATAATCTGGAGGGGCTATTTGGGAATTAGAGGCTTAAGATTGTGTTTTATTTCTTATATTTAATTCATTGGGGATACTGGAAGAATATTACTTAATTACTTTTCCACTATTAAGAACTTGGATTTTTTTTTACTTTGTAAAGATTTATTCATTATTTTCAGTATGCATTTGATAACTGCCTTTGTTAACATTTTTTATATAATAGTTGTGATGTTTACATGTGTGCTTACAATATATCTTAAGGAACCTGGATTTTTGCTACTTGTATTAATCTCTTAAGTTTGGTGCTAAAACTACCAACTGACTAAACTTTTATGAAGAAAAGTTAATGCAGTCTTAATTCTTTATAGTGACGAACTTTTGAAACATCTAGCACAGAAACAGACCTGTAATGTTCTTGCATTTAACAAACTTGGAATAAATGCATAAAGTGACTTGGAATATTGTTGTGCTTGATTAAGCCTTTTTTTTTTTTTTTTTTGGGCAGTATGGAGTTTGAACTCAGGGCCTCACGCTTGCTAGGGAGGCGCTTTTACTACTTCAGCCTCTCTGTCAACCTTTTTTGTGTTGGGGATTTTCAAGCTAGGATCTCCTAACCAGTTTGCCTGGGGCTGGCTTCAAACTGTGACCCTCCTGATCTCTGCCTCCTGAGTAGCTAGGATTACAGGTGTGAGCCACTGGTGCTCTCCTTGATTAAACCTTTTAAAGTCATTTGTCAGAACTTTAATTGGAATATTATGAGGTTGTATTTTTTATTTAATATAGGCAAAGATGTTTTTGAGGCCTTCTATAAGAAAGATTTAGCCAAGCGCCTGCTAGTTGGGAAGAGTGCATCCGTAGATGCTGAAAAATCAATGCTATCCAAACTTAAACATGGTATGTTTGTCATTTTCTATTTTTTCTTTGATTTTTAGGGGAAATGTGAGTTTAATTTTTATTCTTTTAATTATCTCTTTTGTCAGTCATTTTATATACATGTGGTGATGGAAACATAAATTGAACAAGCTCATGAGGTTTCCCGTCTATCATTGCCTGCTGTTACCTTTTGAAAAAAATAAAGCATTGTTCTTGTTTTTATTGTTTGTATAAAAATTTACCATTTATCTTATACCTGAATAGTCAATAAGGTTGCTGCAGAATTAAAGAATTTGACTCTGAATTAGTGGGGCATATACTGTGGGATAAGGATTTATTTTTATTCTACAAATAGTTACAGATCATATTTCATGCTAAATTAAGTTTTCTATTTCATGTTTCCCATTTTAAATTCTTTTTTTAACACCTTAAATACTATAAATGAACAAACATCTTTAATAGAATGTGGAGCTGCTTTTACCAGCAAACTTGAAGGAATGTTTAAAGACATGGAGCTTTCTAAAGACATCATGATTCAGTTCAAACAGGTAAAAGTGAGTTAAACTCTTACTTAATTCTTCACACTTAAATATATTTATCTCCTTATTGAGGTTTGTATTAAAGATGAAAAATAGAAATGTATTTTTATAAATACTTCACAGCAACTTAGGTGATAATCACAGTAGAGAAAAAAAGATCACCAATGAAATTTAAGTATCTTTGACCTACTTTTGGACTTACTCTTTTTTAACATTTTTATTAGCATATAATAGTTGTACAGGGGATACATGGTGATATTTACATATGTGTTTACAATATATCTTAGTTAGATTTACCCCCTCCATCGCTCTCCCTCCTCTCCTCTCCCGTCCCCCTCTTCCTAGAACAATTTCAACAGGTTTCATTCTTCTATTTTCATATACGAATACAAAATACATCCAGTATATTCACCAAGAATAACATAAAAAATAGAAACAAAATGTATTGAACCAAATTTAGTGCAAGTATTGTAACTGGACGGTGGAAGCAGGACTTCCCCTGACACCTAATTTCTAGGCGATTTCCAAGTTTAGAGCTTTCAGTAGGGAAGGAGAAGAGGAGATAAAGTGTTTGTATGACATCTCTGGGGATATTGGGATGAAAAGCTAGACCTATATCTTTGAAGATGTAGGCAGAAAGTGCTTTTGAAATATTTAAGAACATTATCAAGTGCAGTGGTGTGTGTTCTAATTACTTGGAAGGCTGAGGCAGGAGAATTGCTTGAGTCCAGCCTGGGAAATATAGTAAGATCCTGTCTCAAAGGATAATAGCAGCATTAACATTGATGATTATCATGGCAATTTAGATATTTTACTCTTGGGGGTTTAGTATTGACTTCTTGACCACTATATTGATAAGGTGGGAAATGAAAGTGAAAGACTCAAAAGATTAGGGTCAGTAGGATCATGGATCTTGTATAGCTACAGAATAGGGTTTATCTGCTTTGTCCCTTTCCCCCTCTTCTTTGTTCCTCACTTCAGGTCACCGCCCTAAAAACAGGTGGGGGAGACCAGAGACTTAGGCTGTCTGGTGGGGTGAGAAATGGGGGTTGCTATAAGGTCTTCCAAGTCATATAGAGGTCTCCAAAAGTGGGGCTGCAGGTGGCATTAGGGGAAGCATGGAGAAGCAATTCTATAACAGCCTGGCTGTATGTGAGAAATTGTTTGAGTTGATAGTGCCTAGAGTGATGTCATGGGATTCTCTCATGGCACACTATCAAAATGTTAACCTATGTACTTTTCTAGTGCATTTTGTGTAAGCTTCACTTAAAATCCTCTTAATAGTTGCGTTATATTTTCAGGATCATCAGTATTCACATGAATTTTCATAATAAGTAATTCCCTAAATGAGTCATTCTGAGGTGAAATATATGTACTTTCCTTTTACAATCTCAGTGTGTGTGTTCTCATTATAGTATATGCAGAATCAGAATGTACCTGGGAATATTGAATTAACTGTGAATATCTTGACAATGGGTTACTGGCCAACGTACGTGCCTATGGAAGTCCATTTGCCACCAGAGGTAAGGTTTACTGACAGTTTAGGACTTGAGTTATAGTCATAGAAATCATGATACTTCTTTTTTGCTTATCACTTAAAAATACATGCTTTTTAAAAGCTTATGTCAGCAAACATACCAACAAAAAATGCCAAGTGCTTTAATATTTTATTCTTGTACTTAAATTTCTAATTCTACTTTCGCATGTAACTAATGGTGCCAGATTTCTAAAATTGAGGGCCACTTTCCCTACTCTTCTTTCATTTTCCCAGATTATACCCCTAGCTATCAATTGGTCTTGCCCACATTTCATCTGGAGGCAGGATTGCTGAGTGATGGGTACTTGAGTAAATCAATCCTAATGCCTGGGAAAATGTCTAGCTCTTCAAAGCCTAGAAAAAGAGTAGGGGGAGATATTGTGAGACTTTCATGAAGATGACCATGGAAGCCTAGGAAATAGATTTCCCTCAATAGGAGGGAGAATGTGGAGAAGGGGAGGAAAACAGGGCAGAAGGCAGAACTTTAGAAGGGGCTCATGTTTGACAGGTGGTAGGAAGAGGAACCTATGAAGGAAGCTTGCGCAGAAACAGCAGTGAGATAAAGGAGCCAGCACAATGTGGAGGCACAAAAGCCCCTGGAGATGAATATTTCATAACAGAATGATTTAATTGTACATGCAGAGATATCAGAGTATAACAACTGATAGGACATTTGTTTGGGTGTCTTGGAGATCATTATTATGTATCACAGTAATTGATTAGACCTAGATACAGTATTTAAAACTTTTGGAAATTATTACAGATGAGGTAAGTGTAAAGAGTGGTGAGTATGGTTTTGCATATAGAGCTTAAAGTCTTATTTTACTTACTTTAGATGGTAAAACTTCAGGAAATTTTCAAGACCTTTTACCTAGGCAAACATAGTGGCAGGAAACTTCAGTGGCAGTCAACCCTAGGACACTGTGTGCTAAAAGCAGAATTTAAAGAGGTAAGTGGATGTTCCCAAAACTTAAGTTTTCATCTTTAATATTGAGATCATTCCTCTTAGCTTGAAAGTTCAAGCTTTTGTTTTATAAAATGTATACTAGACATCTGCATGACAGCAGTGACAGCTTGTCACAGCTTTGTGTATATTTTAAGATAGCAGTCTTTTCCACAATTGATTTGGCTCTCCTGCAAAACCAAAACTCACTCCCCACCTAACTCCTTTCCCACATGTGGATGCAGAATTCACACTGCTTCTTGTCAGAAATCTTCTTGTTGCTGGGAGCTAGAGAATAGAGTGGGAGTTAAGGGGGAAACGGTGCCCATATGTAATTTCAAAAATTTCTGCAGCTTTTCATGACTAATCTGAATGAACCATGTCAAAAATGTACTTGAGGGCTGGTGGAGTGGCTTAAGTGTTAGAGTGCCTGCCTAGCAAGTGTGAGGCTCTGAGTTCAAGTCCCAGTACCGTCCCCCACCCCCAAAGCACTTGAATAGTGATTTCTTGTTGTTTATGATGAATATCCATAGTGACATGTAGCGTTGGCTATTAATTTTCATTTCTTTGTTCTGTTTTAATTATAAGGCTTTAAAGAGACCTGTTACAGGTCAACTAATTCCTCACTTTATTTAAGGTAGAATCACACCTAAACCTTACACTGCACATACTGTATTGCCACCTGAAATGGTTTTTGTGGATGATGTTAGTCTGTGTTTCTAAACCCAATAATTGAAAAATGCTTTTCCTATTAAGAGATTAATTCATTTGATTAATTTTTCACATTTAAAAAATGACATCTAAACACTGCTGTTTCTCCAACAGGGCAAAAAAGAACTCCAGGTTTCTCTTTTTCAAACACTGGTGCTGCTAATGTTTAATGAGGGAGAGGAGTTCAGTTTAGAAGAAATCAAGCAGGCTACTGGAATAGGTTTGTATTGAATCAGTCTTAGTAGCAAACATAGTTAGGTGTTCACTGTGTGTGCACCACTGTGCGAAGAGTTCTGGTGTATACAAAGAAGTATTCCCTCTCCTTCATACACTTGCTATAATCTGGAATAATGAGAAATGACACTTGAAATAATTTCAAACCTAGTAAGTACCACTCTGTGGTGCTGACTAGAAGTGTGTTAGGAGTTCAGTGAAGCAAGAGATCACTATGGAGTGGCATAGTTGGGAAAGCCCTCATGAGGTAGAACTTGAGCTGAGACTTCAAAATTTGGTCAAAGAGAAGGCATATGAAGCAAGGAAATAGTATAGAAAAAGGCTAAGAGTAGTAGTGGCTGCAGTGTGGGCAGGAATATTGAAGAGTTTAATTGTAGCATAGACTAGTGTGCTACAAAATTTGACAGGATGGGTAGGACATGGAGAGCCAGATAAGTCTAGCAAATGATGTCTGTATTATAGTGTCTCAAGTGTGTGACATGGAAGTAACCTATTTGGATAACTTACCTGGAATCAATAGACAGGGCTACTTGGAAGATGAAGAGATTAGGAAATAACCATTAGATGCACGAAGGAATGAAGAAGGAAGAGTTCAAAGGTTATTCTAGAGTTTCTCACCAGAGTAGGTATGTAGTATGACCACTGTTGTTTGGAAAGAGGACAAAATTTTATGAGGAAGATGGACATACAGGAGTTGATAGTAAAACAGTCAAGTGGAGGGATCCTTTAAATGTGTGAGACTGGAGAGAAATGAATGAAACCTTATCATTCGCAAGCAAATGTGTGGAACTGGAGAACATTATCCTGAGCGAGGTTAGCCAGGCCCAGAAGACCAAAAATCATATGTTCTCCCTCATATGCGGACTTTAGATCTAGGGCAAACACAACAAGGGGAATAGGACTTTGATCACATGACAAGACGAATACACACAAGGGAGGTATGAGGATAGGTAGGTAATCCCCCCCCAAAAAAAAGATAGCATTTGATATCTTCAATGCAAAGCAACAGAGGCCAATAGGAGAAGGGGACTAGGAACTAGAAAAAAGGTTAGTTCGAGAAGAATCAACTTAGAAAGTAACACATATGTACATGGAAGCAATGCTAGGAATCTCCCTATATAGCTATCCTTACCTCAACTAGCAAAATCCCCTGGTCTTCCTTATTAATAATGTTCAAACTCTCTGTTCAACAAAATTAGAGTTAAGGGCAAAACAGTTCCTGCTTGGAAGCAAGGAGGTGGGGCGTGAGGGATGGATGGTAGGGAAGGGAGAGGTGAGGGGAAGGGGGGAGTAATGACCCAATCATTGTATGCACATGTGAATAAAGGAAATAAAAATGAAATGTTATTTCAGAAGATTTGGTAATTGTCTGCATATTATGGTAATTGACTCCTTTAGAAGACAGCTAGGAAAAATGCTAGAACAAATAGGAAGTCTTTGGTGACCTTGGGAAAAAAAACAGTTTTAATAAAGGAATGGAGTTGTGGCTCAAGCAGTAGAGCTTCTGCCTAGCAAGTGTGAGGCCCTGAGTTCAAGCTCCAGTATTGCCCCCCCAAAAAATAAAGGGATGGAGTAGAAGCTAGATTGAGGGTGAATGTAGCTGTTCATGCTGATGAGCTGCTGACAAATAACTAAACTGTTGTTTTCTTCAGAGGATGGAGAATTAAGGAGAACATTGCAGTCATTAGCCTGTGGCAAAGCTAGAGTTCTGGCAAAAAATCCAAAGGGCAAAGATATTGAAGATGGTGACAAGTTCATTTGTAATGATGATTTCAAACACAAACTTTTCAGGATAAAGATCAATCAAATCCAGATGAAAGAAACGGTAAATCTTTTGCTTTCTCCCAGCTCTAAACTATTATGGTTACACGTGTTTATTGTAGAAATTTTATACCTATAATACTACCACTATTATTAACATTTTCTGTGCCTGTATCTGGCTAAATATATTGTAGTGATTGATTTTGGGTTTCTTTTTGTTGGTGAGTACACGTGATTGGGTTGATAGTCAACAAATTTTTTTTCTTTTCTTTTCCTTTTCTTTCTTTCTTTTTTTTTTTTTAAAGCAGCACTGGGGTTTGAATTCAGGGTCTCACGCTTGCTAGGCAGGCACTCTATCACCTGAGCCACTCTACCAGCCCTTTTTTCTGTTGTTTTTGTTTTCAAGATAGTCTTATGGACTATTTGCCTGGGCTGACATTGAACCTTGATCCTCCTGAGTAGCCTGGCCTATTTATTTGTTCTATTTTTTGCAGTGCTGGGGATTGAACCCAGGGTCTGGTTACATACCAGGCAAGCACTCTACCACTCTACATCCCCAGCCCATCAACATAGTTTTATACCTGCTTTTTTCACTTAATACTCAATTTTTAGAAATTTTACATGTGACTAAACATCTTAAAAATGACAAATGACCGCATAATATTCTTTCACATGTCTTTTATAGTCGATCACTGTTCATTGTTAGACAACTTCATGACTTTTTTAGTATTGTAAATAAAACTTCAGGAAGCATCTTTGAACCTAAATCTTTTTTGTTTTTGTTTATATTTTTGATTTTTGAGATAGGATCTTGCTATGTAGGCCACGGTAGCCTGGAACTCATGATACTCCTGCCTCAGCCCAACTGCTGAGATTATAGGCAAGTGTCACTAAGCCTGGCTGTACCTAAATCTTAATTTCTTGGATTCTTCCCAAATGATAAATTCATAGAAATAGATTTTTGTGTCAAAGAGTATGAGCATTTTAAGAGTCTTAGTAAATAATTCCATATTGTGCTTCAGAAATTTATCCTTTGTCCAACAGCATATGAGTGCCTGCCATACTACTTGCTGTACCAACACTGAAGATTGTATTTTCTTTTTAAAGTCTTTGTCAACTTGCTTGTTGGGAAATCTAAATGGTTTAGTTAAAGCAATTTTACTTTGATTAAAGTAGAACTTTTTGTTTGTGTTTGTTAAGATACTTTTGAGGAAACCAACTGTTAAGCATACTGTTTGGATTGGTTTCAGTACCAACAAGGCTGGATGCAATCTTTGAGAAAAAGTTTTAAAGTGGAACAAGGATCAGTATCTTCAAACAAGTCTTGTCTTTTTCACACACACGTCACACATCAAAAACGTGCCACTGTAAGGTTAGCAGAGTGGCTCAAGTGGTAGAGCACCTGCTTAGCAAAAGCAAGTCCCTGAATTTAACCCCCACCAAGGCTGCCAAAAAATGATACTCCCTTTAGATTACTTTGTCCTTATTTCCAAAGCATTTATGCTGTACCAGAAAGAAACTACTGCCAAAGTCCAAACTATTCTTTTGGTTTAGTTGCTAACATTTGGTTCATTTAGTTGTTAACATTTTTACTTTAGCATCAAGTTTGCTAAATACCTACATTTCTATAAGAACTAAAGAAATGTAAGTAATAACAATATGCATTTCAGATTCAAATATTACCAAATAAAAATTAATTTTTAAACACTGACTCTTAGTTTGCTTTGAGTCAGAGGTCAGAGTCAGTCACTTCATAGGTAAACTGTTGTGCCACAAGTGTATCAGGAATAGAACAGAATAAAAGGAAATGATAAATTCTGCATCAACTGTCTACTTTCAGAAAAGCAATTTAAAGATGGCATTTTCCTATTAACTAATATTTATATTACTTCATTGGTACAGGTCAGTATAATTAGGCCAGAAAGGAGTTGTGTTTGTAGAGCCTTTTTTCTGTTGAGTCTGTACTGATAAGGTCCCATTTAGATAATTCAGTACATTTAAAGAATAAGATGTCATGTCCCTAGCATGTACAATTTGTGTGAGTAATCTAGTTTCACTTCAGGTACAGTTCTTAAGTCTAAAACTTTTTTTCCCTAGGTTGAAGAACAAGCAAGCACTACAGAAAGAGTATTTCAAGATAGACAGTATCAAATTGATGCTGCAATTGTTCGAATTATGAAGATGAGAAAGACACTTAGTCACAATCTCCTTGTTTCAGAAGTATACAACCAATTAAAATTTCCAGTAAAGGTAGGCACGTCTATGTTTTCATATTGAGCTTGTTGTAAATGAGAAAACAACATTAGATTTTCAGACACTAATCTTACAGATAAAGATTAAAGCCATAAGACCATTTGGAGAGATAAGTTTTTTTCCTCCTCTTTTTTTTGGTGGTACAGGGGCTTGAACCCAGGGCCTCATGCTTGCTAAACAGGCACTCTACCACTTGAGCCACTCCACTAACCCTAAGAGACAAGTTTTAATTTCCTGTGCTTATGCATATGGTTCTAAAAAAAATTTCATTGGCATACTGGAAAAAAAGGGGAAAACAACTTAGAGAATTCCTTATACTTAAAAGTTTAATGAGTAAATGAGGCTTTCACTTTTCCAGTTTGACTTGAAAATTTTGCCATACTTCTTTTGAACCTTACTACTTTTCTCCTTGAAGTACCTTGGTATTTGACAGATTTGGGTTTTTTTTGTTGTTTTTTAGCTTGTGATAGGGACAGGGATATATATAGCTCAGTGGTAGAACAGCTGAGTAGCATGTATAAGGCCCTGGTTTCAATCCAAGGTACTGAGAAAAAAAAACCCTGTACAAATAGCTAGTCATCATTAAGTGTCTTTGTACTAATTGTACATATTAATGAGGTTCAGTGTCATATTTCCACACATGCATACAGTGTAATGCTGGTCAAATCCAACTTCCCTTTTAAAAAAGTCTAGCAATAGTTGCAGTAAACTGAAATTGGTCATTAAATGGACATGTTCCAATGTAAATGCCCAGCGATAAAGGTGCTTAGACAATGGTATTGTACCATACTGTTTTCCAAGTTTTAGAAGATTCCTAAACCCTTATGATAATAAACACTTAGTAGAGTTTGGGTAGACTCCTGGCTGTTAGGATTCTTAAGAGCTTTGGACTTTGGTAAATCACTTAACCTTGCTGAGCTTGTTTCTTCTTTTATAAAATGGAAATAATAATTGTACTTATCTCATAGGATTATTAAGAAGCTTAAATGAGATGATGAGTATAAAAAATTTAGCATTGAATTTGGCATATAATAAGTATTCAGTAGCTATTTCTAATAAGATAGGCGTTTTGTCCAAATGTAATGCTGCCGCCTCATTAACCACACTTTGCCTAACAATTACTTCACGTTCTGTCTAACAGTCAGTGATGCTAGGAAGGTAGGGGATCATTGAAATAAGCATTGCTGCTCTTCTAGATCTCTTATAATTAAGAGAAGGTCATTTGATATTCAAACCTTGGAAGAACTGGATGAACTGCTCCATTTTTTCTCTTTTCCTCTCCTTTGTTTTTCATTTTATTTTGTTTTTGAGACACAGTCTCACTGTGTTGCTCAGGCTGACCTTGACACTAGGCATCAAGCTGTCCTCCTGCCTCAGCCTCTTTAGTAGCTGGGACTATAAGCACATACCACTGTGCTGGGCTATTTCCGTCTTGATCAAATGGTCATTCTACATATTCTGAAAAACTCCCTCATTGGCAAGCAATATTATATAGTAGACCCTTCATATCCATGGGTTCCATATCCGTGGATTCAACCAACGACAGATTGAAAATATTTTTTAAAAAATATATTAGCACAGGTAGTCAGCAACTTGGGAGGTTGAGGCAGGAGGATTCCTTGAGCTCAGAAATTTGAGGCCAGCTTGGGCAACTCAATGAGACCCACCCCCCATATTAAAAAAAAATGCTTGTACTGAATATATACACATTTTTTCTTGTCATTCTCTTAAATAATACATAAAAACATAGTATAGAAACAATATAGCTTTTACATTGTATTAGGTATCATAAGTAACTTAGAAAATTTCTTTTTGGTTGTTTCTGAGATAGGGTTTTGCTATGTAGTCCAGGCTGGCCTTGAACTTGTGATCCACCTCCCTCACTCTCCCAACTGCTGAAATTGCAGGCATTTGCCACCATGTCCATCTGAGAACTAGCTTTTGCCAAGTAAAGGTGTGCATACCTTTTCAAACTATCTTTTTAAAACTAAATAGCATTATTTCCCTAAACTATGATGTGTTCCTCCTGTGAAGTTATGATAATCTTAGTCTTCTGTATTTAATCACGCAGGGGGTAGCTGGTTCTGGGAAGATCTCTTTAAAATAAAAAGGTATTAAAAATAAAAAGGTAGTAGAAAGTATTGTTTAACAGTATTGGCAATAGCATAAAATATGTATAATAAAAATATGTATAAAATAAAGTGTAAGGCGGGTGCTGGTGGCTCATGCCTATAATCCTAGCTACTTGGGAGGCATAGATTGTGGGGATTGTGGTTTGAGGCCAGCCCAGGTAAATAGTTCTTGAGACCTCATCTTCCAGATAACCAGAGGAAGCTCTCCTTTTCTTGGGGGGACCAGGCATGTGGTCCTGCTTCCCATTATATAAGAAGGCAGAAGAAGGAAAGGGCACTGGCTCTCTCGGTGTCGTGGCTTCAGTAACTGGCAGCTTCCCGTTCACCAGTTCTATCCTCAAATGCTGGGACATGGGTTAAAAAAAATAATAATAACAAGAGCAAAATGGATGGGAGGTGTGGCTCAAGTGGTAGAGCACCTGCTTCGTAAGCACAAAGCCCTGAGTTCAAACCGCAGTCCCACCAAAAACACAAAGTATAAAACTTTTCGGGGAGGGAGGTTGAGACAGAGTTTTGTTATGTAGCCCAGAATGGCACTGAACTCATGAATCTCCTGCCTTAGCCTCCCAAGTGCTGTGATTACAGGTGGGCACCACCACACCTAGCCCTTATTCTGTTATTAATGGGGTGTTGGCAAATGGGGTTGTGCTAATGATGATGAGCTTTGCATTGAAAATTTGTCTTCTCTTGCAGCCTGCTGATCTTAAGAAGAGAATAGAATCCTTAATTGACCGGGACTACATGGAAAGAGATAAAGAAAATCCAAACCAGTACAACTATATTGCATAGAATGTTGGCCTTGGAGCGTTTGTTGTTATATGCAGTAGCCAGTGGATAAACTAATTTGTTGATCCTATATTATTTGACTTCTTTTATACTACCGATGACCAAATGAAGCAGTGTAATGGAAATAGTTGAGTGGACTTTTTCTCAGTGGTTAACATGCCCATTTTAAAGAGTAATACTTACCTTTAAGAAGAATGTTGAACTCTTTGCATGTTATTTAGTATGATGTGCAGAAAACACTTAAGAAAAGTACCCGGTCTTTATGATTCCTCTTTGGAACTGGGGAAGAGATCCCTATGGTTATTAAAAAAAGGGGGGGGGTTCTTATACACCATGAATTACGAAGCAAAAAGTTTATTTGCTTAAAATGTCATTTAAAGATACTTAAACTGCATGCAAACTTTATTTACTGTACAGAGTTCTGGATGTATTTATCAAATAGAAAAACCACCTGGACTTGGTTGTTCACTTGTTTTGTGATTTCCCTTGAAAAGAAAAATAAGTTGTCATAGCTATTGATATTTTGCTAGATCTATTCTGTTACATTGAAAGGGATGTTTTGAAAAAACTTATTTGGAAACAAGTTTTCAAGTAGGGTGACAGTTACTTCCATAATATCTTGTATATTCACATCCTAAAAATTTTCCATTTATGAATATGGGATGTGTGTATATGGCTTAGCTCCAAGTTTACTGTGCTGATTAACAAGTACTTATGAAAATAACTAAAATAGAAAAATTGCTGATAATCTTGTACTAGAGCAACATCATAGAGAAAACCCAACTCTTTATTCATAGTAAAAATGAATTCTATATGAAAATGGCAAAAGAGACCAAAATCAACATGATTTGTAAATTGCTACAGGAACAAAATCAATCAACTAGTTTTCTGTCTTTTAACTTGGACCAATTGTAGATTGTTACAGGCTTCCTAGGATTTAGCATTCCAGTTTTCTCTACTAAAGTCTTTTTCTGGAAGAATCCAATTCTTCTCTTGGTTGATAAACAAAGTCTTTACTATCATCCTTATTATAAACTTCCCAAACCCTAGGTATAAAGGTCTTTCCTCATTTTCCCTATACATCCCCTATTTGGGAATTTGAAGTTGTGTATTCCTTTTAAAATTGCTTGAAGTTAAGAGTTCTTACAGCCACTGGACACCTGCTTTTCAGGGAAATGTCCCAAAATTGTTCTTACTTAGAAAATAACAAAAGTGTTCTTTAAATTAATAATGTGAACAAAAGGTTTCTCTTTATCATCAGTGGGTTTTTGTTTTCCTTCCTTTTTTTTCCTCAAAAGGAATTGATCATGGAAGAGAGTCAGAAATTTTGCTGTTGTTTCTTTTTAAATCAAAACTACTTTGATGCTTTTTACAACAGCATATTTCCTTGCCTATTTGGAGCCATTAGTTTTAAGAATGCCTAGGTCCTAACCTTCAATTTGGGACTTGGGACACTTGTGTCTACTATTGATTGTTTTCTTGAGTTCTCAAAGACCTGTGGCCAGCTCTGTGTGTGTGTGTGTGTGTGTGTGTGTGTGTGTGTGTGTGTGTGTATACACACACACATATATATGTATGTGTGTGTATATATATTTATATATATGCACATATGTATATATACATTATATATATTTTAAAAGTTGCCTGTTTCTGTCTAATTGCATCGACTTGCACACTTGTCTAACTATATATAATATTTAGAATTCTTTCCTAAGTTTTTTTCCTAATTCTTTTTGAGGAGCCATTGCCTGTATTTTCTCAGCTCCTGCCTGGTTTACTTGCAGGAGTTCATCTGATAAGGAAATGTGGCTATTTTGTTTACCCTCTCTCCACACTGGACCATCTACAACAGTGTTCTAACTTATCCCTGATGGTCTGTGAGATGTATAGACTATTACAACAGAATCAGTTATTACTCTCGAGCAAATTTTAGGTAGACTTGGTTCTATTAGGAGACCCTTGATGCCACCTTCATTATCTTGAAAGTGGGTCCCTTTCCTGAAGTTCTTAATTTTATGAAAACTTCATGCTGCTTCAGCTGAAAAATTAGCAAGACTATTAAAAAACAGCTAAGGGGAGCTGTTTAAAAAAATTGAAAATGAATTGCAAACTACATTGGATAATTGTGACTTTCAGTTCTGTATCAGTTTAATTTTTGTGCTCTTTTCCTTGTGTTACGTGGTGGTTCTATTTTTCTCCAATAAAACTTTTATTTAAAAAAGTTTCTGGGGAAGATCTTTAAAATTCAGACATTGTGAGAAAGTTACAAAACCACAGAACTTAAAATCTTCTTAATAATTTCCTTTAATGAATTCACACTTGGCAATTTTGTTATTTTTAAATTTTGTTTTTGTGGTAGTTTTGTGATAATGCTGTTGGAGCATGGGGAGGGTGTGGTAAAAAGAGTAAAATTCCCAAGAATCCTCAAGGTAGGTAATTATTCTTAAATGTTGTTTTAGAAGAATCAAGTGTAAGTATAAGCATGTATTTATTCAAATCCTCAAAGACAAATAGTTTCATAAAGTCTGTATGGAACTAGTCTAGGTTTAAGTTGAGAGGAGAATAAAAGATAATGCTTATTTTAGTTATGGCACTCAATTTGCCTTTTCTGTTAAACAGTTTGTGTTCTGGACAAAATACTGTCACAGATGTTTCTTAAAGTTTTTCTAACTCAGTTCCTGAATCTGTCTGCCGAGTGGTGTTAACATGATGTCTTGAAATTCATACAAAAATTTGTGTATAGTTCTGGAAGTCAGTTTATTCTATTTAGGCATCCATTTTTTAAAGCGTGAGAAGTATGTTTTTGTGTCTTAGTAGCCATAAATTTTTTCTAATTAGATGTTTTTTGTTTTAGTAACTACTTCTGTGAATGGCAGGAGTGTGAAATTTCCAAAACAAATTGTTCATTAAAAAGAAAAGAGCAAGGCTAATGGGAGTTAACATAATTATACCGTATAAAATGGTGTTCCTTCGGTAATGCTCCATTAAGGAATATTTTCAGTTGCCTATTAAAAACTTGCTTTACATTTGAATAGTGAACAGGCTCAAATCTTTCTTTGCTCAATTTTCTTTTTTCCCTTGATACTAGAAAAAAGGGTATTCTTTTGAATGGACAATATGCTTTTATGTATAATAATCCTTAGAAGTTATGTCTTGCATAGTTTAAAGTCCTAATCTTTTTTGTAGACCCTTTTAAAATTTGATATAGAATAATGGTTTTGCAAGTACAAAAACAATAGATACTCTCATCTGTCCTTTATTCTTACAGTCAAATCTTTTTACACTTTAATTTTCTTTTTTTTGTTGTTGATACTGGGGTTTGAACTCAGGGTCTCACACTTGCTAGGCAGATGCTGTACCACTTGAGCCACTCTGCCAGCTAAGTTTTAATTTTCTACTGTGGCAAAATAAACATAACAGGAATTTCTAATGATAAAACCATGCTAGCCATGCTGAAGTGTACAGTTCAGACATTTACTACATTCACTGTATCATGCAACCATTACCATTATGTTCTTTTCAGAGCATTTTCATCAACCCAAGAGGAAACCCAGTACCCGTTAGGCAGTCACTCCTCATTCCCCCATTACCTAGCCTCTGGAAATCATTAATCTGCTTTCTGTTTTTATTTTCATTTATTTATTTACTCACATGTGTATATATTGTTTGGGACACCTTCCCCCCCTCCCCCGGCTTTCTTTCTTTATGGATTTTCCTATTCTGGATATTTCACATCAATGGTATCGTGGCCTTTTGCATCTCATTTCTTTCATTTAGCATGATGTTTTCAAAGTTCATCCATGTATTGAGTATTTCATTCCTTTTTATGACTAAGTAATATGTATATACCATATTTCATTTATCCAATCAGTTGTTAAACATTTAGGTTGTTTCTACCTTTTGGCTATTATAAATAGTAATACGAAGATTTGTGTACTTCCTCAATTCCCTGTTTTAATATCTTTTGGGAATATGCCCTGAATGAAATTGCTAAGTTATGTGCTATAATTCTTTGCTTATCAAGGAGCCACCAAATTTTTCCATACAAGGTGCATCATTTTACATTCCCACCAGCAGTGTACACATACATCCTCATCAACCCTTGATGTTTTCTAGTTTGTTTTTATTGTAGGCATCTTAGTGGATGTGAAGTAATTTATTGTGGTTTTGAATTTCACTTCCTTAACGACTAATGCTGATGAACATCTTTTCCTGTGCTTGTTGGTCATTTGTACATTTTCGTTGGAGAAATGTCTTCACATCATTAGGCCATTTTTTAAAATAGGGTATTTTTCTTGTAAAAGTTCTTTATATATTTAGGTACTAGACCCTTATCATAAAGAATGATTTCCTGATATTTTCTCCAATTATGTAAGTTGTCTTTTTACTTACTTTGATAATATCCTTTACATGAAAGGTTTTAATTTAATGAAGTCTGGTTAATCTAAAGTTTTCCTTTTGTTGCTTTGCTTTTGGTGTCATACTGAAGAAATTGCTTAAGTTCATTAGATTTTACTCTTACGTTTTCTTGGAAGAGTTACAAAGTTTTATTCCTTACATTTAGATTTTGGTTTCATTTGGGTAAATGTTTATATATGGCATGAGGTAATGGTCCTCTCTTTTTGCACGTGAATATTCATTTATCCCAGTACCATTTGTCAGAATATTCTTTCCCCTATTGAGTGGTCTGAAATCAGTTGATAGTAGCTATGTGGGTTTATTTCTGGATTCCAGTTCTATTCGAATCATTCATCTGTATATTTATTATTTTGCTAGTACTATACTGTTTTCATTAATATAGATTAAGTTTTAAAATCAGTATGTGGTATATTGCAAGTTTGCTCTTCTTTTTCATGATTGTTTTAACTGTTTAGGTCACTTAAAATTCCATATGAATTTTAGGATCAGCTCTTCCATTCCTAAGAAGAGGCTTTTGGGATTGTGTTGGGGTATAGCACTTTGGGGGAATTTTGTCATCTTAATTTTTTTAAAGTCTCCTAATCCATGAATATTTCTATTTTTAGGTTTTTTTAGAGTTTAACATTTTGTGCTTTTCAATGTACAGGTCTGCTTTCTCCCTAATTAAATATATTCCTAAACATTTTACTTTTTTGTGCTCCTATGAATGAAAATTTTTTTCTTTCTTTCTTTTTTTTTTTTTTTGTAGTACTGAAGGGTTGAACTCAGAGCCTTGTGCTTGTGAGGCATGCATTCTACTACCTGAGCCATGCCCTAGTTTTTTTCTGAATTTAGTTAACACATTTATTGCCGACATATACAACCCTATCTAACTGATTTTTGCATGTTAATCTTGTATCCTTCACTTTTGCTGGATTTGTTTCCTCTAATGTATTTTTATGAACATGTATTTATCTGGGCACTGGTGGTTCATGCCTGTAATCCTTGCTACTCAGGAGGCAGAGATCAGAAGGATCGAGGTTTTTTAGCCAGCCTGGGCAAATAATTCACAAGACCCTATGTCGGAAAACCCTTCACAACAAAGGGCTGGTGGAGTGGCTCAAGGTGTAGGCCCTGAGTTCAAACCCTAGTACCGCAAAAACAAGCAAACAAATAAACAACAACAGCAAAAACATCTAAAGAGATAGTGTATTTCTTTCCAATTTGGGTGCCCTTTATTTATTTTTCTTGCCTGGTGTCAGGCTGAAGCTTGTAATACACTTTTAAATAGAAGTAGGTAATGTGGACATCCTTGTCATGTTCTGATCCTAGGGGGAAAGCTTTCAGTCTTTTGATCACTGAATATGATGTTAGCTATGGGTGTTTCATAAAAGCCCTTTATGGTTTTGAGGAAGTTTCTTTTTATTCCCAGTTTTTGGAGTGTGCCTTTTTAATCACACATTTTTATCAAATGCTTTTTCTGCATCAATTGTGATAATCATGATTTTGCCTCTGCTTTTCCATTAATGTGGTATGTTACACTGATTTGTTTTTATAGGTTGAGCAGTTCTTTTTTATTTATGTTAATTTTTAATTTTTATTACATTATTATTGTACTGGGGGTACATTGTGACATTTACAAAAGTTCTTATATCATCGTTGAATTCACCCCCTCCATAGTTCTCCTACCCCCATTCCTGGAATAGTTTCAACAGGTCTCAAGTTTTCCATTTTCGTACATCAGTACATAATATTTCTACCATATTCACCCTCCTATACCTTTTCCTTACGTCCTCCTCCTCCCACTGCTACCAACCCCCAGAGAGGACCCGTTTTACTTTCCTATTCTCCATTTTAAAAAAAAAAAGACATTTTTTGTTTAAGATAGCTATACAGGGGGTTTCATTGTGGCAGTTCCATGCATATATGTATTATAACCTGAATTGGTTCAACCCCTCTATTTTTCTCCTTTCTACCTTAGTCCCCTTCTTACGGTGATTTCTTTTTTCATTTTTCTTTTATTATTCATATGTGCATACAAGGCTTGGTTCATTTCTCCCCC